CAAAAGGAAAAAATGCGTAAAGAAAAAAGGCAGCTTCAGATTTCCTTTTCAGCAAATCCAAGTACAATTAAAAATTTATTGTTTGTGATTATAAAAACTTCACCTTTTTTTCTATTATTCAGATTTTTTTCTAATCATCAAAACTAAAAATCCTAAGTACATTTTCCCCATTTTATGTAAACATCTATAAATTTTCCAGTCAACCAAAAATATATAGTTTTTCCTTTGGATAATAGTATTAAGAGGCTGTCCCCTGACCTCTAACTGATATTAATTGGTCACTGATTGTGTTGTACTTAAGTATTGTCTTTGCTATATGCTGTATCCTTCATGATTATAAAAATAATGTTATTCCTTGTTTCTTGTGTCCTGAGTAAGTACATGGTATGATCAGCTAACAATGGCTGGTTCCAGTATCTTCCGATTCCCTGTTGCACAAGAGGTCAAAAATTTAGTAGACTCATTTCATCTTTCACTGTGTTGCATTCTCCCATATTCTCATAGAAAGTCTATCTTTGTGGTTTTCTATTTTTTTTCCTGCGTAGCAACATCAGTATTTAGATGTTCTGGAGGTTTTACTCTCATTACCATTAATACTCTGAAAGGATCCTCACCTTTTCTTCAGTAGCATATTGAGGGCTTTCCAACTCTAGCCGATCACCAGCATTATATCATCCATCACTTTACAGGTAGTCAACAAGTTGTGATGGCAGTTGAGACTGGAGTTTCCATCACTAAGCGATGAGATCATAAAATGCAATTGCATTGTTTAACATTGACAATCCCTGTAACCATGGTTGTCAGCATTAACTGAATTTCACAATGGTTAGGCTAGGCAACTTTCTGCCAGCATCCCACAACCAAGTGGGGAAGTTGGCAATAAGTTGCAAGTACCCAGCCCGCAGACAGGTAAGCGGCTGCTGCCGAGTGGAGGAAGGAGCAGGGTGGGTAGGTAAATGAGGGTGCTGCAGAAGTGCAGGTTGGGTTGGGAGCACAAGAGACAAGGCAACAAGGATCAACAATGTGTGTGGGTCAGAGATTCAATTATGGTATGGTGTGGTGTGATCCATATCGTGGATGTGCAGGGATATGTGACTGGCCAGCATGATATTAGCACAGAGTGGCTGGAAAGGTGTGCTTGTGGGGGGGGGAGAGACTTAATCCAGCAATTTACGAGCTTCCCTTTCAGCTTCCCCACTGACTTTCTGAGGAAACTGGCAGGAAAGGTTGCAAATGGTGATCACAGGACACTGCAACTGGTTGTAAGTGCAAACTGGTTGCCAATTGTCCAGATCATAATCACATGACTGGGAGGGTGCTGGAACAGCCAGAATTCGGAAGACTGGTTGTAACCATTTATTCAGTGCTGTCATAACTTCAAATAGTTGCTGAACAAATTGAGGACTAGCTGTATATTATCTATTTGTATGATTTTCCTGGTAAAATACAGGAGTGATTTACCATACTTTCTCTCAATGCAGTATGAAATGCTTTTGCCATTGTCACTAAAGTCCTAATCCACCTATAGAATCTTCCTATATCACTGCTGCCCAATACAGGTATTTGTTTTAGCTGGGCAGCTGGCCTGGCCTTTGTGCTCTGGAACTTGCTGGGATATATAGTTAGCATATCGTGCTTGTGTTCTTCACTCATACCTTCCAGAAATACCATGATGTAGCAGGACTAGAGAGGGAAGCTGAACATAAATAAAATAGTGGACTAAAAAAAAATCTTTAAAATGTTTTTAAAATAGCACAAACTATTTGCCACCTAATAGTTTTCACATTATCCATGTTGTTCAGTGCAACATTTTTCCCCCATTTTATTCTGGTACCCATACTATAGAAATATTTTTTACAAAACATGAAAGCATAACAGAACTAAATATGGAGGGGAAATTAAATGTGTACATTCCCACTTGAGTGCTATATGTGGTCTTTCCTACATATTAATGTGAGTAAGGCAGTGTTTGCCTATATGTTGCTGAATAGTTGACTTAACATAGTGTAATAAAGCTTATGTTCTACAGTTAAAGAAATTGCAATTTTATCTTTATTCATGCTAGATGAAAGTGGCATGTACTAAACTCACAACATTATACATATTGATTAAACAAATACCAAAATTTTATTTACTGTAACACTGAATAGATATTGCAATTAAAAAATGTTAGTTGCAATAATTACAATATAGGTTTTTCTGTAGTTTTGTAAGCCTATTACAGTTTTGCTATTTGCAAAAATTTGCTATTTAGTAACCAATGATACATAGCAGAGTTACTGTAAGTACTGTGCACAGAAATTATACAGGTACTACATTCACATCAGTGTTAAAAATTAACCATGTGGGTTTTAGAAATCAAGCTTATATCCCTAAAAATACAATTTGAGTTCAGAAGTAATGGAGAAAAAGACTTTTCAAAGATTTGCATGCAAATTTTACACATAGAAATAAAAACAACTACAATTCCACCTAATTTGAATGAATTTAAATCTCTAACTAGAAGCTGCTGAATTTCAATCTATGTTTATTTATTGCAGAATCCTTCACTTTCACAGTTAGGTTGTATTATAAATTTGCTACTATTCATTGAAAAGCCTAGTGGCAGGAGATAGTCACACAACATACAGCATTACATTTTAGAATAATAATCTTAACATTGTTAAAGAGTTTCTGGAAAAGGGACTCCGAGGTAAGCTGAAATATAAGTGATCAAAGTTAAACATTCAGCAAACAGGCCAATATCTTTTTAAGCAGTGGTTACAAATAATAAGTAAAACTACTAGCAAAAGAAAGCAAAAATAATATCAATAGTAAGTAATAGGTGCCTTGGGTGCAATCCCAAAACATCTGGATCACGACTTGAACACCAGTAGCATTGACAAAAATCACCATCAGTCGACTGCAAAAAGGCAGCTTTACTTGGAACAACTTATCTCCTGTTATACCTCTAACATCAGGCAACAGCTGCTTATCCTGGGTCCTTGGGAAGGACTCTGAGATGTATAAAAATGTCAAACCTAATCGAAACAACCGATAGACTGTGTGACCAGCCATAATAATAAATAGCCAAGAACAGAAAACTTTTGGAACATTCGGTGTCACCAGAGTTTGGGCATTTTTTAAAAAGTATTGATCAGTATGAACATAGGTGATAAGAGCCCTTACAGATGCTCCACTTGTTGGCCTCCCAAGTGGTAAAAATAGAAGTTGGAAGCATATAACTAAAATATAATTAAAACATCTGGCTTTCTTTTCCATTAGCAAATATTCTCCACAGAGTTGGTACTTTTAAAAGCATTAAAAACTACAGATTTCTTGAGGTCCAGCTATAGTACATGACCTCAATTCCATGAAGTAAAATACCTTAACGTATTATTTATTGTTATTGGTTATTTTTGTTCACCAATCATTAAAAAAAGGAATATACTGACATATTACAAATTGTATCAGGCTTACTGTATGAAATAGCTACTGGCTTAACTCTTAACATCTTTATGCATTCATACGATACCTTGAGCATATTATCTGTAAATAAAGGCAAATTGTAGATATTTTAGAAAATGTCAGGTTACTTACAAAAAGTGTACAGAGATTGAACAGAATGATTTCCAAGCATGTGCAATCATGGCAGAATGCCATGTTTTCTTGAAATAGAATTATGCATTTTCTTATATATACAGTATATATATATATATATGCTTTCCTCCAATAATTACCTCAGTGCGGAAAAAATACTATATGTGAAGCAATTGATTTTAGGCCGTAGAATAGCGTCTTTAAAATCTACTAACCGCAATGTAAACTACTGGCATCTACACCAAATTGCAGTAATGTCAAGAAATCACACGCATAGTGACATCAATAATATACTTGCATCCTACCTTCTGACACAAGCAGATAATTTTTAGTATTGGCATGATAATATCATCATGCATGAATCATCATTAGCCCCAGGTGCCCTCCCCCTGTGGAGACACCCATTAGTGCTACTTTTTTGTTCTTCGTACTGCTATTTTCTTCTGGCAGAACTTCTTTAGAGATCAGCAGTTTCTGTATGGCCTATGGAAACTAAGCCATAATTTCTGTAGGGTCAGTAACCAATTTTGATCCATCCCATGATGTCTTAAACTGTTCAGGGACAGGAAATTCTTTCTGTAGGGAGACAAGATGGACAGTATCAGTTGGCTAAATAAGTGTTGGTTATCAAAACAATGCCCCTTTGAATTAACTTTCAGAGCTCAGAAACACCTGTATTATCAAGCAGCCACATCGTTACAGAGACTGTTATCAATACCATAGACAGAGTGCAGGTAGTCCTCGGCTTATGACCACAATTGAGCCCAAAATCTCCGTTGCAAAGCAAGATAGTTAAGGGAGTTTTGCCCCATTTATGTGTAAGTTCTTTATACTTTTTTGTGTTTCTAATTGTTACCGCTCGATTTTGTAAAAATTTCACTTCTGTACGCGACTCCGTATAAATAAGGTAGCACCATGGCCCAGAACTGCTCAGTTTATCATTTCCTTGTCTTTCGTTATCTACATTACACAATGTTCTAACATTTCTGCAGATGTTGTCATCCCCTATAGTTCTCGGAGATGTGAAGGCTAATTTTGGAAATGCATGTATACTTCGTTGTGGATACACATTTTTTGCACAGTGCTATCATAAACATCATCAGTTGCTTGAATGTGCAAATGCATAAAACAGGGTACATTGATTTTTTTTAAAAAAAGGTTGCTAGGATAAGTTCTACACATATTTCTCAACACAGCAGTTGGAAAAAAAAAAAGAAGTGGGTCACTCATATGTACCCAGCATGTGCGTGTAATGCTTTATTACCAGTTCTGCAGTTCGGCTGTTCAAATCTCACCGGCTCAGGATTGACTCAGCCTTCCATCCTTCNTACCGCTTAGTAGTGAGCAACCTGAACTATACGGAAGTTTTGTAAGTACCCATCCAGACTTGGTTGCAAATAGATAAGTATGATTAAAAAACCTTCAAAATCACAGTTTATATTTAATATAGTGCAACAAAAATAGTTAAGAATGCAAGAACTTTTACAGATTAAAAAAATAGTGTTTAAAACCATCTGATCTTAAAAATAGACAGTGAAGCTTTAAATACAACCGCTAGTTATTTTTTACTGCTTCTTGCCTGGGACCGGCGTAACTATTAAGGAAAGGCTTCGTTTCTTAAAACAGACACTTCTGTAGAGGCTGCTTGTTCGTAGTTGAAGTCTGGTATAGTTTTGCCTCTGAGTGGTGAGCTTGAACGTTCTTGCTGGATCCATTCAGCCAGTTTGGAGCTGGAATGTACCAGAGAGTTACTTTGACTACCGTTGGTTTGAGAGCAAACGTTATTCACTTCAGGGTTTTTGGTTTTGTGGTGGTTGATGTAAACTTTGTATTTCAGCAGAAGTATGAAGATAAAAACAAGGACGGACGCCACAATGATGCCTCCGATGATAATAATCATGGTCCCGCCAAGAAACTGTGCGTGGAGGGAATGACACTGCCGATATGCCTCCTCTGTGGTGAACTGCACACACCCTACCACCAGGGTCGCTGTCAGGGAAGTCACGCCGTCCTCATAAACAGCAAGGACACACAGATCGTAGTCCCGCCCAGCAACCAGGTCGGTCAGGAAGAAAGACTTGCTAGAAGCCGGGATCATCCTGCAAGAGAAGACAAACTCGGTCTATAGCAAGGAACCGCACAGCAACATCCCTCTCCGCTCCCGTGATTTCCCGAAAAGCTAAAGGGATGAACAGGGGAGCCGTTGGCTACTTAGGCAGCGTAACTGTCCCTTGGTGGCCATGTTGGTGTTAAAATGGCAAAGTGTGCGTTATGATATTCAAGTTGATGATATGCGTTCTTATTCTTACTTTGACAAAGCAACGGTATAGTCTGTACGCATATACATATTTAAATTGCTGATTTTCAATTATGCAAAGGCCCGACATATAGGTTTTTCTCTGATTAACCTAGACATGAAATTTACCCAAGGCCATATTTCACTTTCCATGGGAAGAAGAATTGGGACTGGTAAATTGGGGAAATTAACCAAGGAAGGAAGGAAGGGAAGGGCTCTATCCCCATCTGCTGTTAGGCAGTGGTGGGATTCAAATAATTTAACAACCGGCTCCGTGCACATGGCTAGATGGGCATGTGACTGGATGCATGTGGGTAGGTGGGCCATGCCCACTCAGTCACATGACCGATGCTGCAGAGACAGGCCGATTTCCTACCTTTCCCACCCCCCCCTCCGTCCTTGAACAGACAAAATAAAAGCCCCCCTAAAGATTGCAACTGCCTGCTGAGCCTGCCTGCAAATGCTGGCAAAAGG